GGGCTTACTGGTCTTATCACTCCACAGGCTCCACTGTGTACCCTGCCCCTTGCACACTCAGAAGTACCCAGCAACCCCCACGCCCACGGTGCATTTTCACCCTTCTTTGCCAATGCTGTCTACCTCCCTATCCCCCACTTTCTCCTCCTCCTCGACTTGGAGCAATCCTGAACATTGTCAAGATCCAGTTCCTTCCTTTGCTTTGTACCAACAAACCTGAATCTTGAAGAATACATTGGGCTGCAGGTGACAGAAAACCTAATGTAAAGTGGCTCCAACAATAAGAGGTTTGTTATCTCACTTAATAAAATTAATGCCGAGGCAGTTCCATGGTTAATTCAATGCTCAAGTGGGCCATGAAAAGTGTAGATTCGCTCCAACTTTCTGTTCTGTCATCGTCAGGGTGGCTTTGGTCCCCAAGTTTGTTCAGCTGGCTTTCCCTTGCAAGCCATGGATAGAACTGCTTATCACATGCTCATGTCTGTATTAGTGTATTAGGGTTTTCCAGAGAAACACAACCTAGAGTGTGAATGTATGTGTGTGTGTGTGTGTGTGTGTGTGTGTGAGAGAGAGAGAGAGAGAGAGAGAGAGAGAGAGATTTTAAGGAACTGGCTCATCGTGGAGACTGACAAATCGAGAATTTGCAGGGTCGGCTGGCAGGCTGGAGACCCAAGGGAGTCTTGATGTTGCAGTTCAAGGCCAACATCTCCTGGAATCACAGTTCCCTCTTCCTTGGGAGACCTCAGTCTTTGCCTCTTAGGGCCTTCCACTGATTGAATGAGGCCCACCAACATTACGGAGGATAATTTGCTTTACTCAAAGTCTGCTGCTGTGAATGTTAATCTCATTTAAAAAACTATCTTCACAGAAACATCTAGAATAACGTTGAAGCAAATACCTGAGTACTGCAGACTAGCCATGCTGTCACATCAAATTAGCCAATATGATGTCTCAATCAATCACTGTCAAGAAAGAGGGCTGAAATCTCTATAACTGGTATAGATACTAGCCAAGAGGAACCTTCTGGGGCCGGGGAGGGGCTCCTTCCCTGAACGCATGGCTTTGGGGAGGGTAAACAGTCAAATAAAATTGGGGCTCTGTCTGCAAGGCAGACTGTGGTTATGGGTGGGGTTGGCGGAAACCATGGATTTGAGTGGGGAAAAGACAAAGTCTGTTGAATGCCAGGCAGGCAGAATCCCAATATGCTTTATGGCCTCCTTTACATGTTCTTTAAACTCTGTTAGAGCCCTTGTTATCCTGAGCCATGGGTTGATGGCTTATTTTCCTCTTTAGATTGGGTTCATCCTTGAGTAAGAACCATGTATTGGTTACCTCTTCATCAACAGCCCCATGCATTGTTCTCAGCATCAGGTGGCTGCTCTATAAATGCTATTGAATCGACCAAAGTGGACTGTTCTGGTGCTAAATCAGCCTGTGCTTGCTGCTGCTCCAGAAACTATATATTTCTATCCACCACAAGCTTTGTTGATGTCACAGACTGTCAGCTGTTATACCAACTGACCATTATTCTAGATCTCCTTATAAAGAACTTATGGAACAGTAAAACTTGTCCAAGTAGTCCAGTCCTACAAGTTCTCTTCTCTTTCACACATCCATAACATGAAAAAAAATCCCAGTGGCAAAGTAAAGAACACTTTCAACCTTATACTCAGTAATGATAAGAAGAGATAAAGGGCCCATTATTTGCCCTAAGCACCAGCTCGGATAAAGTAGGTCACTGGGAGTCAGTCAAATGCTAGAGCCGCAGGTCCAATTACTTAATTCAAAAATTTGCATGACTCCTATCTTTTTAAACAGAGTTAGAGTTCCTAAAAGTTTAGCAAGTGAAATAAATAATCAGATACACACAACCCCCCCTTTACCTGGAAGCCAAAGGTCTTTGGGACTGTTAAATCCAGAGGGTGATCAAGTCACCTCTCAGGTGGCCACTGTGTAGAGATCCATTGAGCTTACACATTCAAGGAACACTTACTAAGCACCTTCCACGTTCTAGGCATCATGAGAGACCCTCACTTGCATGAATATATTTTCTAATTGTGAGCTCTCTGCCTTTGTTCAAGCAGAGAAGTATCAAATGCCCGGTTACGGTGTTACTAATAAAAGAGTAATAGTTATACCAAAGACAACTGACAGGTACTGACTCACACCATGCACCAGACGTTACCATGAGCACTTTCCCTGCCTTATGTAAGTCAAGCCTCACGAAACCTTGTGAGGCTAATTTGTTCCTCTTCTCCATTTTAACAGAGGAAGACCCTGGGTGGATGGAGTGGGGGAGGGGAATGCTGGGAGTGGGTAGGCAATTGGCTGACACCAGTCCCACCAGTAGGAAGATCCACAGAACCCAGACTCCATTCCAGGCTGCCTGACTCCAGAGTCCGGGCTCGGGACGCCACCCCTACTGCTTCCCATATAGCAAATTTTATCCGTATTATCTCACTTAAAAGTGGAAATGAGGGCAAGTTTAACTCTTTTAAATCAACACATAAAGGAAAGGTAAAATTTCTTTCCTGTGGCTATTAGATGCAACAACAAACTCAAAACAAGGCCTTGAACACATGTAAAGAATGTGTCAGCTGAGGGGAAAACATCAAAAGAGAAAAATATGGAGCAGACAAGCAAAATTCTGCAGTGCCTATCCAGTATTATCCATGAGCATTTTAATCACTACAGAGGAAATGACTAGTTTAGCAAGGCTTGTTATAACCTGGAGGAATGCCTCTTGTTGCTCTAATTCCATAATCACGAAGCACAAGAATGCAATTATAAATGTAATTTCTCGGATAGCTTGAATATGAGAAGCAGATTCCTAAAGAAAAAAAATACACAAGCATTCTACCCATTTGAAAGGGACATTCTCAATTGTATATATAAAATGTCATGTATCTACATATGCCATATGAACACAGCTTGGGTCAATTAAGTTGCTATAAGATTAT